GCATAACCGCGAAATCCGCCGCGGCCAGGAAGGTCAAGATAATAAAAGTCGAGCGCCTTCTCAAACGGGAACTTGCCGCAATGACAACCATTGTGAGGCCGTTTCCGAGAGCTGAGAGGGCACATATACCATATATAACCCGACACCAACATTCCTCGAGCATTCTCCAGCAGCCGTACTCTGTTCCGTTCGTCATTTTTTCCACCCGGGATTCGTTTTCAGTTTTACTGAAGCGAAGAAAGATATGTAGAAAATTTTGTGACGCCCCTCAGAAGTCAATAAGATGCAATTTTCGTTAGCACCACGTACAATGTATGTTAAAATAATGGTTCAACTCGGTAGTGGCGAAATGTTTTGTTCGATTACGTATTATAGAATCTCCTGAAGCGGGTTTTAAATATTTGAGTATTTTTCCAATATGAATGGAAAGTCTCCCTGCCTAAATGACATGTATTTCAGCCGTATTAGTATGTGAAATCAAGTGCTTGGGTGTGCTGCATAAAGCATCAATATTAACTACAATCTGAATAATCCGAAATGATATAATGATTTCATTCATCCACCTTGATTGATATTCGGCGTCAATTTTCAACAGTACATTTGAGGCAAATTAACCCAAATAAACAGTGAAACTGTTACAATAGGCCGTTTCTTACAGTGTGTAAACTAAAACTTTACTTTAACAGACACTTTTTAACAGACACTACGAACACATCTGGTGAATGCTTAAGATCTTGTAGATTTTTTATATAAATCGACAACAACTTTGCTTCTGCACTATCTTGTCCTGCACCAAGGACGCTGAACGTTTTTTCAAGATTCATTAATTAAAGATGTTGGTTTTCGTCTGTGTCATCTGTAGCCATCAAACTTTGTCTTCCTATAATAAGATTGGTATTAATCGTAAAACTCGTTAACGGAGTATATGTCAATTATGACAGATCTTGTAATATAATTCAACTGAATATTCCGTTTTGCCTTCCTTGTTCGGTCGTCATTGCAGCGTAGAATGTTGTCGCAGGGTTTAAAAACTACTTGTTGGTCAGATTTGATCAGGTACGACGTCTCCGTGCAGCCCTGGGGACCCACTTTAAGTGTCCAAACCAATTGGATGTTTCAGTTCCGAAATTGCCTTTGAAAAGAACAATTTTAACATCCCATTCTCTGTTGTTTTTATTTGTTTTGTTCTTTTTTTGCTGTCTGAAACTCTCTTTGTCCACGTCTGCTCTGTATACCATCAATTGGCTCTTTTCCAGTGTCTTAAACCAACAATTTTTCGCTCCCGTCTTATTACTTTCTGTCTCGTGCTTTCATTTCCTCTAACTGGATCGCATCAAAGGAACATCTTTCTTGCGGAAACCTGTAGACTCCAATCTACCATGGTGCAAAATGTCAAAGTACTGTACACAATTTCAACACACCAAGTTGTGTAAGGGCGATTTTTCAATTACCTAACAGGCCTGCAGTCATGAGTTTGCTGTAATTTCCGTAGTCTTGTGCCACTTGTACCGATGTGTCGTTATGCACGAGTAAGTCATTAATTTTACAAAATGGCAAGGCTTAAATGAATGTTAATGAAAGTTTGAACTGTCTTGTGTCGTCATGGCTATAAACGGCTTCTCAAAGTGCATTCGCCTTTTGTCGATGATTTCCGTGAGTACCTCTTCTTTTGTCGTTGATTTCCGTGAGCAGCCCAGTTCGCCAAGACCGCGAAATACAAATTCGTGTCACGTTAAGAGTTGACACCATCTGAAGGTCACTCATAAAGAGTGTCCAAATACCTGTTATCACGGGTATTTACCAATCCGTAATAAATAAAATACACCAAAAAACGTACACTGCGTTCATGACTCTACTGATCTCTGGGATCAACACGAGAGAATAATGCTACATAAAAACCGTTCTGTGTCACGGTCCGTCAATTTCGTCACCAATATACATGGACCCTGGATGTGAAGAGCACAAACCGATTTATTTTGTAACAATTAGAGTAATGCTGACAAAACATTTCCGTGGTCGAGTGACTGACTGATATCTGTTTTCACAATGCCTTTCATAGGAATCGATACGTTAGTGTTTACAATTCCCCATGGTTTCTGGTTACAAGGAGACCTCTCTCCAAAGAATCATCTAATCTGTGTTGTGCTGTAAAAACATGAAGATGTTACACCCACACAACCAATACTGGTAAGCGACGTGTTACTCGTGGCTCTCATGGCGTCTCAGCCTGTCTGATTACTGGACAAATGTCTTCTTCAGGACAAGATTTCCCGGCGGAGGACTTCGTGCTTTTATTCATAGCACTTCTATGTAAAAAAAGGTCGTTCATCGTTTCAAACGTAATCCTTTCAATGTGCTATCATTACTGCTAATGCCGCAGTCTGTAATAGTCTCTTTTACGAGTGACGTCACAGCGTCTGAAGTTAATGCGGTCTTGTTTGGACGAAAAAGTGGCTGATTTAAGTTATTGGCTGGTTTAACGGAGATCAAAACATTCGGTTTTCGATTATCCGTTTAAGTGAAAAAAAAAAAACATTGTTATGTTACGAGATAATGCTATCGCATCAAAAATACGTCAGGATGAATTTGTTTATCTGAGCGGATGATGTGACAGCTTCGTTTTGGGGGTGAAAACTGTAATATCGATTCAAACAGATCTGCTTCATCCGAAGCTGCACAACTGTCAACATCGTTTTAACGCCTTTTAAATCTCAACAATAAGTACTACAATCCGGTGCCAGGAAATAGTTTGAACGGCTAAATTCTGACGTCACCAGTAAAGAGGCGAAATATTAATTTTGTGAAACGAAGCATCGTAATAAGGGGCACAAATCTCCTAAATATAACAATATAAAAACCAAGCACTGGCACCGAATTGTAGTTCACGCCCTAGTCAACCATGCCGATTGTCATGCTTATGTCTTACCGACAGAGCTACGTTGGAAACTGATCACTACCTCACAGCAGTTCACAAAGCAAAATTTGAAATATATAACGCTTATTAACCATCCTATGTGCAGAAGCATTTAGGGGTGGTGGATAAAGCAGCAAAAAGAAAAAAAATGGAATGTGCAGCCTGAAAGCCTGCATTTTTGTTGCAATGATATTAAGATAAATAATTCACCTTACAGAACTGGATGACCGGTAAATGTAAGCCTTGAAAGTGTATTGATCCCCTTTAATCCAATAACACTTTTAATGTTTTATATCTTTTTATCCGTTTTCCATTATAGTGACTGGGTTACGTTAATACGTTTATGTTGTCCATCTAATACGATAAGCACGGCATGCTGTATACGTGTACGAATTGTTCTTATTGTGGTAGCGGAGAAGGAACACAACTCTTCAAGCCGATAAATGTAAAATATAACTTTATTTAGCACATATATCATATTTTGTTACGTGTTCCATGGCACCGTTATTATATGTCTCTAAAATATGTATGAATTGCCCTTAAAATGGAACAAAATACATTGTTAAATACCTGGAAGAATGCGAAGGGATATATGTGAAATTTGGTGACGTCATGATAATTGTTTATGGAAGTGACGTCACGCACTCCTGTATATCAAGAACAGTTTAGAGCATAAAAACTGGAGCAGCTCTTCATGATGTCATACATTAAGTGAATATACAGAGAGCATATATATTATCATCATGAACATTATGTCTTGTAAGTTATACACATACTATAAAGTGTGCATAGTTACAGTGATGCGTTGTATCAAAAGAGTGAACGTCCTTCCTATTATACAACATTACAAAATACGGTGATGAAATGATCTTTTTCAATACGGAAAAATTATCAATCTTTGAGATACACAATATTTAAATCAATGAATATTATATTTCGGAAAGCATTTTTTTTTACTATACAGAATAGAACTACTGCGTAGTCAGCTTTTCAATTTTGTTCCCGTCAGTCACAGTTGTAATTCTAAGAATTTATGACTTAAAAATACAGTATCTGTAAAATTCACAATTTTTTTCCGATTGAAAAGATCGATTCACTACCGTAGTTTATTCATTGTCTCTACTTATGCACCCCAACAAATAACAAACGGGGAACCCTAGCATCAGTTTTATAACTATATAAAGTTAACTTGTATAACAACATTTTCATACTATTAGATAGTTAACAAAATATAAAAAACTAAACAATGTTAGTTTTTGATCCTAGTTACAGACGTACGCACAGCGTTAGACTATATGTACATTAAATTAATAAAAATTAAATGAACAAATAAAACTACTTAATGACTGAATAAAGTTTAAATATTCGAAAAATAAAAAAAAAAAACTTTTAAGTTTGATGAAGTACATGAATATAGTAAATCTCTCCGTCATTGTAGCTCATTTTGTAAAATTTTCAAAGTTGAATCTACAGCTCTTTTCACACAGGCGCTTAACCATAGCGACACTGTCCGTATCGGTACGCTTTGGAAGGTCCTGGCATGCACGCTGCGAAAAGTGTAGTACCATTCACTATTTTAGATCTCTACAAGGAGGGGGGGGGCGTTTAGACTACTGCCTACGCATTAGCCAAGCTAATTTCCAAAATGTTCAATCTCTCAAAATGTACCGATACAGACTGCACCGCTATCGTATTCTGGCCGTTATAAGAAGGGCCTAACAATAATCATCTACGTTTCTTTTTTTCGTCGAAATGATATTATCTGTCTCTTAAGATTACAGAGAAAAAAATAAAAATAATGAAAGTTAAATAGTCTGGTCCGATAATATGTCCTACTTGTAACTGCTTATGAACAGCGCAATCATGGGACTGTCTTTCAAAATATCGTCTTTTTCCGCAAAGATGCTCCAATTATTTTTTCGGTAGGTTACACGTGCTTTTGTTTGAAATCGTGCGTGAGAAAAATTTTCTTAAAGCTTGTGATATATATCAGGCAAAATATATGAAGCAAAGACATATATGTATTCCTGGGCCTGGGATATTTTAAACAGGCCTGTAGACAAGGGGTTCATGGTGGGGGGGGGGGGGGTAATGGTGGAGATAACAACCCCTTTTGTCGGAAAATAGTCCGCTCTGATTCGAGGTTTGCCCCAGGTTCTATTTTTCGCAAGTAGGGCCAGCTAAAGGAGGTAAAAGGTTCATTTTTCAAGAAATAAAGAACCCCCGTTTTGAAATTGTTGGCTACAGGCCGAAATCATACTAACATGTCATGACAATATTTACAGTGCGCTTGCTCGACATTTTTTTCACCAGTCATTTTTTGTTTTTACCCAGGTATTGCTCTCAACTGTCTGACAGTTGTGTTTAAGAGATAATTCAGTGTCAGCTGTAAATATTTATCTTGCTGACGTCATATATTTAAATGACGTCACATCATACCTTGGCAAGTGTCTGACAGATGTGTTGAAGTCATAACTCGTCTAATGTGAATAGTTGATAGATGTAGTTTGCTTACGTTAATTGTGAATATCTTTCTTCCTGACGCTATGTGACGTCAGTGACGTCATATCTTATATTGGCATCTGTGGAGCATGTATACAAAAATAGATCATTTCATGATAATTATGTAGCCACGTTTACCCCTAGGGACATTAAGTAAAGCGTAGATGAGGTTTGCCAGAACGTGGCGCTTTTTCTCTCGAACACAAACTTGATTTATATTCAGTAGTCACCTTGATAGAATTTATGCTATTTTGAACATACTGTTCAATTTGATTGTTTTGTTGATTATAAAAAATCAACTCAAAATCAATCACTGGTATCATTTTGAATCACATCTCTGTCATCAATGCGCCAACTTTAAATACTCGAGTAGCAGTTTATATCTTATGTGTGTCCAGTCCAATGTATTTAGGAGTGTACGCATGCGTTATGACGTCAGAAATAACCACGATGGAATGAAACCTATACAATATCATCAGCGGCAGTGTGACGTGAGACAAAATCACCCATGCGTTCACCGTGTAAAAAGAAATCTGGATACTATTGGCTATTTCATTTCGCAGCCCAAATGAATTCAAGCCCCAGAGGCAAAAGTTGCAGCAAAGAAGGAAAAACAGTCCTTGCCTGCCGGGACGCTTCTCGCGCTGTTCCGGCGTCGTCGCCCTCCGCGGTAAGAATGACGTCACAAGGAAAACCGTTTGAAGCACCGCCTCTATCATAACAATAGCAGCGTCGGCGGTGGTCAGTCCAGCGTCCACCTCAGGATCGGTCACCCCTAGTCCAGCTATGATGGTCAATGTGCAGTAGCCCATCAGACCAATAAATGAAATCCCGAGAAGAGCTTTATCAAGGGCCAGCTGATGCTGCTGATGTTTCTCGTCTGAATGCCTCCTCCCTTCTTTCCCCAGTCGTAGTCCACGCAAATTGGGGTCTTTCTTCATCAGGCTGTTGATGCTGAAATGCGTAATGAATAGCGCGAAAATGTTAAGTATGTTAAGAGATATTTTGGCAATGAACAGGTGTGCATTTGCGTACTCTACTCTGCCAAGGATGTCGCTGCTGTCGGCGTACAAGAGATTCAAGAACACTATGATAGTGACCAGAGTCGCCAGTGCAATCGTAAGACCGATGTAAAGTCCGCAGTGGTTGTTGTAGTATTCCGCCTCCTTCACGTCGGGCATGTGGGGAGCCTCGTAAGCTGATGTTGCTATAGAAACGCTGGACGCTACGTTGGTCAGCGTTGATCTACCTGTATGAACAAGATCGCTGGCTTCCAGAAACGTGTGCTGGCTGTGGTCGTTGTTATGGCGATGCCAGTCGGCCACGTGACGCGTCACCTGACTCACAGACATCATGTCCTTGTTGCTATGCGACGCTTGATCGTGGAGCTCCACGTGCTCGTGATGGTCCGACGCAGCATCACTGGCTTCCCCGAAGTAGAATTTCACTTCGTCTGCCTTGGAGCTGAACTCGATCTTCTGGTCCTTCTCCTTCACGGGGCAGCTGTCTTGGTGGCCGCTTACTCCTTCCTTGAACGAATTGAAACAGTTGCACTCCGACTCCTCCGCAGTTTTTTGCTTGGGCGTGGCGGGTTCGGAGTGAGCAGACGACTCACCTTCCGAGCCCGATTCCTCGATAATGTCCGCTAGAACCGCGGAGAAGGCACGATTGACGTGGCCATGAGAACCGTGGTGACCGTGAGGGTGGTCAAAATGAACGTGATGAGGCCCGTGTCCAAGATGCTCCATCCGGGCGATGCTGGAAGACTTTCTCACCGACTTAGGGTCTACGTAGCCGTTACATTTGGCGTGAAGGTTGTCCTCTGATAGTTCAGTCTTTGGAGGCGCAGCGTGAGTGGGCTGACATATTTTGCTCCAGATTAGATAAATGTTTGTGGAAGTGATCAGGCTGTATTCAATGACACACGGGTATAGGTAAGATGAGAGTTGACGTTGCAGAGTTATCCCACCAGCGCAAGCGTCTGGAAACAAAATCAGGACCGTATTAACTAAAAGGTGCTTTATTTTTGATTTCACATATCCATTTTATATTTCTTCAATGTACCAAACATCCTTTAAATTCGTGTTGAAGAATTACTTGTCTTTTTTTTTGACGAGATTTTTACAATGAAAAATTCAAAATTATCAAATATGGATGTCAATACTGCACGATTAAACACTTAAATTAATCTCAATTTAATTTTGTTCAATTATACTTCATAAAAATATTATAAAAATATTAAAGTAATTCTTCTTCTTCTTATTATTATTAAATAACAGTAAAGTTTTGCTTAATTCTTCCATTACATAAACGAAATTGTGCACAATGTTTTTTTTAGTATAATAAGGCTACTGGTATTCATCTTGTAAATTGTCATACTTTTCATTTTTCCTTTTTTCCTCACAGGTCAGTACAACAATGTCTTAACTTACATGTGTAATTCGTGTCGTTTTTGACACTGTGACTGGAATCTGAATGATGGGCTTCCTCAGACGAGTGTCGGGCCTCTGATATTGTGGTGTGAATCCACACAGATATATTGGTCCCCATTATTACCATCAGCCCAAACCGGGATAATATTGGAACAACCTTGCCCATGTTAATTGTAACCTGAAAAATCAATTACTAAAATCTAAGTAAACGAATTGGTGATAATGTCAGAATTAAACATGACCAGAGAGAGACAGCGGTATGTGGGCAGTGATTATGCATCGTATTTAATCCATACTTGGATCTTAGCAAAATAAATGAAAAAGAATCTCTCTCTCTTTCTCTCTCCCCCCACACACAAACTAAAATACACACACTCAAAAACAAAAAAAATGTTCAGATTATACTATTGCTACTTACTTTTGCGTATAATAATAATAATAATAATAATAATAATAATAATAATAATAATAACATCAATGTATTTGGAAGGTACATTCAAAATACAAAATTAATGATGATTCCAATAAAAAGGTAGGACCTATTAGTTCATTAGAATATATAATGTAAAATATATGGTAAACTGTACAATTGTGATATATATTCCCAAAAGTAAAGATTTATCTCTTATATTGAAATAGATTTCTACTTACCTTGGCATAGACCAACAGAAAGTAAACCTGAAGTGACGTAAAAGCAATGGAGAGGAGCGGTCCAAAAATGGATTCCAGATAGCGGCACTCGGGTGCCAGGGAAACGAACTCCGCTATCCCCAGAGAACTGTATACCATCGCGCCCATACCAAATACTGCAAACAAATGTTCGTTAACACTTTTATAAAATCCACTTTTGACACTCTTTTAACAGAAGCGGTAGACATTTTATTTCACCCTCCATTCTAACACATGTTCATTAATCTAGAACATTGCGCTCAATATTAAAATTTTCGTGACTGGAAATTTAACAAATAAATTAGATGTATTCATTTCACAATTATTCCTGGATTTCTAGTGCAAACAAAATAGACTAACACACATTTTCGGCATATCGGGAAAAGAATGACGGGGTACATTTGCATGTATTCTCCCCAAAAAATGAAGAATATAAGAAAAATTGTAATTTACCCATGGCGCCGATTTTCTGAAAATTCATCTTGTTATTTTTTCTAGACTTGTATTTTAAACTCGTAGTCAGTTTCATTGTCCAACCCAACACCAAAGTAACGAATATCCACACAGCCGACGCCGCGTACAGAACAGATAGCATCACCTGAAAGATGCAAATTAGGTCAAGGTCATGTGGAACCAGTCATGTAAGGTCAGGTGAAGGTCACGTGAAATTTATGAGACAATTCAAAGATCACTTGCGATAACCCGTAGGAGAAAAAAACTGCCAAAGTTAGTTACATTTCTAATTCAACTAAAATAGCCTGACATGTTGACATGTTAATATTTTAATTCGTCGGTTACTTTCAGAATCATTTGTCACATATTGGTATTCTATACAGTCTTCCGGAAGACGGTCAGAATTTTTAACTTAACATTGACGGGCATCTAATTTTTTCCTTTGGAAGACGGTCATTCATGGTAAATGAATCGTTAAAGATAATTTCAAAGACTCGTAAAACATTTCTGAATCTGTTCCTGATATTCTTACATCTATGGCGGTCTTGGGGATGTCCTTCTGAGCAGACGACGCCACGTCCATGCACGAAACCACCACCACAATAACGGCGGCCAGCAACAGGCTCATCGCTTTCATGTTACCATTGTCAAAACTAGAAAGAAAATTAGCAAGATGTTATAAACATGTTTCATGGACACAACTACTGTAGAATTTTTTAGAATGATAAATTGATTAATCATTTTAATAATAACAAATTGATAAACATTACGGATTGAAGATAAATATTTGCATGTATTCTCAAATATGGACATTTTGATAAATACACAGTTGCAGTCATTATTTTTTCCACTAATGAAGCTCGAAACAACACAGGCACGTAGCTACCAATTTCAAAAGGGGGTTCTTTTAATTAAAAATTGGACCTTTTACTATGAAACCTCGTGCTCTTAGATAAGATTTTACCCAGAGGGTACCTGTTCCAGGCAAAAGGGGTGCTCTTTCGAAACCCCCCCCCCCCACCCCCCTCGCGGCCATGGGCCTGCAACGCATTATTTGTTTTTCATTACGAAACATTTCGTGCTCAGATAAGATACTATCTCGGACTCCATTATTGCAAGGTGGGTGCGAGAGGTCTTGATATAAACCAGATTGCATGACAACAATCACTAAGGACCGGTCAGTCACGAGAGTGTCCAGTTGCACTTGTAAATATATTGTGCTATGTCATATCATGGATGAATGCGCCGATTTAAAGGGATGGTGAGCGAATTCCTTTTAATGAAAATGGATTAAGTTTCGCATTTCTGTCCCATTATAAAACTTGTACGCACCGCGCTCTCACATTTGGCCGCATTAGTTGTTTAAAATCCCCGTTAGTCGAGATAAAGCGTCAAGGCTCATTACACACCGAAGAGAATTCACAAGTTGATCTGATTGGTTGATATGGTCAACGTACAAGTCTTGATTTTTTTCCTCATGCAGTGCGTTTCAAGTATTTTATCAGAAGGTCGAGAGATGGTCATACAATACGATATAAATTCCGCTTGTTGTCCGTTCGATGATCGAATTTCAGCGAAGACACGAAAAAAGTCTGAACAAAAAAGAATACGAGTCGTTTGGCATTTTGAACAACAAAACGTCAAAATTGAAGTTGACACAATGCTTTATGGAAAGAGTATCGAAAAGGGTGATTAAAACCGGTTTGAATGTCGTATTTCGTGCAATAAGTCGCCCCCTAGTGCTATCAATACTGTTCGGCCAAAAAGTTAAATGGGCTTGTTTTTACGATCACCATGTTTTTGTCGTCCTCTTACATCTGATTGTTCTATGTGTTAGAATGATTTGATATAAATTAATCGTTTGTTATTATCATTACGCAACTGTTTCTTACTTTTGGTTCTGCCTAGCGAATAACGTTATGTAACGTTTTATGACGTTACCATGACATTAACATAATGTTTTTGGTCAAGTAAACGTTATGGTAACGTTATGATAACTAAACGTTCTGTGTTTTCTGGATTACTAACAAGATGCTGACTATACTAGTAAAAGTACTACTCCAGCAGCTGATCGGAACCCAAACTATCCGTGTATTCTGATCACTTTTTTCCGATTAACAAACTCATAACCGTGGTGCATCTCTATATTCCAAAGGTCCACTGTTCCAAAAAAATGCTGAAAAAGATTTTTCTGACCACTGAAATTCGGGGGGTCATTATTCCGAAGGTTTGCAATATATTCCGAAGGCTAAGGGTGTGCTATTCCGAAAAGTTCGCTATTCCGAAGACAGTATAATCATGCAATATGTCGGGGGCATTTAATAATTCATAGGCAATGTCAGTAACCTCAAGTAATAACTTTTATTGTAAACCGTAATTCTCTATAATCCAGTTTCTTTGTTTGGGAAAGGGAGGAATATGTCGGGGACATTTAATAATTCATAGGCAATGTCAGTAACTTTAAGTACCCCTGTAATAACTTTTATTGTAAACCGCAATTCTCTATAAATACATTATGTCAAGTCTGAAGAGGCAGAGTAAGCCTTGTTTACTAGTCTGATTAAGAAGCCACTGATAAGGAAGTTTATGAAGCCATTGTCTTGGTAAGATACTAAAAGGTGTAATATTCAACATATCGGCAGAATGTACCTGAGCAGCGACGAGTGCACATTAAATGATTGACACTGGTTATTGTTGTCAGCGTTGGATTTCCTCATAGCGATTTACACGTAACAATTTTTTTACCACGAACCTGGTAGGTAATATTAACGCGTTATCCGAACTAAAAATTTCCAACGGTGTCCGTATTTCGAGCCCATTTCTAAATTACATTCGTATAGATCTAAAATTTGCGCGGTTCCGGACAAATACAATAAGTTGAAGAAGACCGATTAAAGGGATAACAACTCTTCGTGCGAGATCTATGTTTCATAATAAATACATTGTAAACAACTCATACAAATATAAAATATTCTATTTTGCCACAAAAACGGCAGTTATAGCAATTATTCTGAAATCTGTGTTTGTCATCGGACCACGTGACCTCCATAGATGGCTATACTCTGCAGTAATCTCTTACAAAAAAAAACAAACTTTTTTCTTAGAAAAAAAAACCGAGGACTAACTTTGAATGTAGAAATGTATTCATTGACCATTGGTAAGTATGGGGAAATTGTCGTTTACCCCAAGAAAATTCATTTTTTGGCCAAAATGAACAGTTGTTATCTTTTTTAAGTTTAATCTAAAAAATGTTAAATATGGGTCGTCTTTTGGTACATGTACTAAAATTCTACCCCAACCATGTGTAATACTGTCTAGAACAACATGTACAACAGGACAATTTGAGAAGATTGTACTCTGTATAATACTCTTTAACGCGGTTAATTGCTAAATTCTAATAAACATATGGGATATACTCCATGGTGATTTTCATTTAACATTCATCCATCTATCAATGAGGAGTTCGCAGGGGAAGTAATGGGGGGGGGTCTAAAGAACCATTCTTTGGCTAGAATAGATACTCAAGAGCGGATTGAGGCCGTCTTCTGGGTCTTCTGGAAGACGGTCAAATTTCTAAGTTTACATTGATGAGTACCTAATTTTTTCTGTTGGAAGACGGTCAAAAAATGGAGGATGGATCAACAAAGATAATGTGGAAGACAGTCAGAAAATATCTCTGGATCCGCCCCTGGATTATACCAGTGCCCTTTGAATCAAAATGCTATCTATACACTTACGCGCTCTTCATGTATTTCATTAACTAAGATGACTTGAATTATATATATATATTCTTAACCTTCAATTCGGGTTCTTTGTGTTACTCGCAAAGTGTATTTCGGAACAGTGAATCTTCGGAATGGCGGACCTTAGGAAAAGCGAACCTTTGAAATAGTGGAGATCGTAATAAAGCTTTGTACCTACCTAAACGTTGATTGTTTCGTTGTCATTTGGACGGCTTATTTGATATAAGCAAAAACTAACTACAAGTAAATATATATAATCACGGCCACATTATATACTTGAATTCTTCGCTCAGTAACAAGTATACTCCTCTTTACGCTACTATCTACACGCTCTCTCACGCTCTCTCTTTCTCTCTGTCCCTCTCTCTCTTGTATGTGTGTACACGCTCTCTAGATCTCTTGGATGATCGCTTTCCATACAATGACCCGCACATAAAACACTGCAAAGCTTAATAAAAAATGTGAGCGCTCAACAGTCCAGGTGCACTTCTTGGATCAAATTTCTCTTCGATGTGAAACTGTATACCACCTCTTTTATTAAGATTCTATTCAAGGTCTATTTATATTTCTTACAAAAGATGTTATTTATAAGATACAAGTTCCATCTAACACAAAAGCCTTAAACGCAAGGGTCACGTTGAACTGATTCATACCTTTTTCATATAAAGTTGTATTTGACCGTTTCAGTATCAAAACAAATATTGCATCGATAACAATTCATATACATTGACTGCTTTTGTATAACATGACGAATGGATACTTTTTTATAACATGATCTTATGATGAATCACACTGTTTTCCTTGTTAGTAGTTGCACAACAACTTTAAACGTTATGAAATGAAAATTCTTGCATCTCTCCTCTCCATCGCTTCAACCATCTCTCTCTCTCTCTCTCTCTCTCTCTCAAAAACACACACGCGCACGCACATACACATAGGCTACACACATTCTCCATCTCTCATTTTCTCCCCAGAGTCGAAATCATCCTAAAACTTTCATCACATATTAACTAGGACGAATGGAAACGTCAAATAAAACGCAGGTAGGTGAGCTGTACATCTGCCTTCTACAGGTACAGGTATATGAATATATACTGGAGTATATAGTAAACTAGGCACGATGCGGGTTGTATAAAGTCTACACAATAATGCTTGGCACAAGCTTGAATAATTGAAACATGCGCTAACAGTGAAACATGTCATGTAACGTAAATAAATACTGTTTATAATCCACCACCCTTAAATAAACCAAAAAATCAGTACAACATGAAGTGAGCGGAGTTAAGCAAAGGTGATGTTATTTGTTCACCCGGGTGCACTTGGAACCTTTCAATGTCACTCAAGGTCGTCAAAATTAACACATAAATAAATACATAAATTGCATATTTTGGGCCGTGTTCAAGCCAGGCCTTACTTATCCCAGTTTAAAATTAATTGACGTCATCACGGCGTGTTCAGGCGGGAACTAACCAAGGGCTAGATATAGACGTTTGATAACAAAGGGATCCCTTTGTTAATTGACAACCTTGTGGCGACATCAATAGGACTGTTACTACAAGTAATGACGGTCTATAGTGAATGTAAACCGGTCTTCAAGCAAGTACTTATACCAGTCCTAAGACTAGCAGTTTCTAATGGCAATGTTTATTCCCCTCTTACATGTAGTTGACCCAACTTGAGGAATTAAATAGAGCGCATAGATGCCATTTTGATTCACTGGTATCTATTCTGGATGGTTCTTTAGACCCCCCCCACCCACCCCCACCCCCCCACCGTACCTCCCCTGCCTTGGGCCTAAATACACATACACCTTAGCCAAAAAATAATTTAGATACGCGGGGAGGACGTGAATAACTTGAAGGGGTTAATGCCCTGTTATCTACAGTGAAGGTACATACTTTAAGGTACAC